GGGTGCGTGGGCCCACTGCTGCTTTTGGGGGTCTGAGTGGGGGGCTGGGAGCCCTGATGTCTGCGTGCCTTCCTCCCGCAGAGTGGTGCTCGCATTAACATCTCAGAAGGGAACTGCCCCGAACGGATCATTACCCTCGCTGGACCCACCAATGCCATCTTCAAAGCTTTTGCGATGATCATTGACAAACTGGAAGAGGTGTGTCTGCGGTCCCGAGCCCCCCGCAGCAGGCTGCTGCCCTGCTTGCGGTCACCTTTTACCTCTGTCCCCGCATAAATTTACCCTGGGCTCTGCCCCAGAGCGTGCTGGGGGGTCCGGAGCATGAGGAGAAGCTCTCCCCTGGGGATGAGCAGCAGGATGGGCTTGTTCTGCATGGGTTGGTGGTGTTTTCCCCATGGGGCCTGATCTTTGCCCGGCTGTGAGCAGGGTCAAGGTCCAGGTAGTGACACTTCCCTGTGTGCGCTCAGCAATCCTTAAGTGCTTGCTCGCTGAGTGCCAGAGCCCTGTGGGGACTTTCCCAGGCTGAAAACACCCTGCAGCCGCTGGTTAAACAGCTTAAAACAGAGCAGGGCTTCAAAACTTCCCTGGCTTCCCTCACCCTTCTGGGTGGTTGTGCTGGTTTCCCTTGGCACGTCTTGGTGGGCAGCGGGGGCTTGGCTCCCGCTCCAGCCCTGCTGAGGAGGGGACCTGGGGGTGCAGCTGCGCAGCGCCGGAGGAGGAGCCACATCGTGCCCCTGGTCCCGTTGAATCGGGGGCTTCCAGGGGGGATGTTGATCCTGGATAACTCGGATCCTGGCTGTGGGCGTTAGAGCCTGCTCAGGGCCATGGCGTTGAGGAGCTTTCCATCGCTGGAAGGTGCGAGCGCTCCTTGCCTGCTGTGGGGCAGAGCTCTGTGGCCCTCACCTTGCCTGTGGGGGTGAAAATCCTGTTTCTGTTTGGATTTGGGACCCGTCCCTGGGAGGAGACAGCCCAGTGCTGGCAGATCTGTCCCCAAGGCCCCTCTGTTCTTGCTGTTGCCTAAAAGGCTGCTGAGCCCTGAGCTGTTTCTGCCGTACCCCAAGAGCCCGAGTCCTCCGAGGGCTCCCCATCCGAGCGTGGCTCCTGGCTGCCGGTGCTCCGGGTGCTGGGCTCAGTTAAAGCTTTTATTTTAGTAGGTCAATTGAGCCGTGGCCTTGTGCCTCCCCTCCCCCTGCCAGCACATGACCGCTGTAATCAGCGCCGGGCTTGTTTTTTCCCGGAGCCGCTCCTGCCCCGATCACTCGTTACAACTGGAGGCTCCACGCTGAACTGGGAGCTGTGGGCGCACCGAGGCCCCAGCCGCTTGTCCCCGTCCAGCACCGGCACAGCCGGTTCCTGTTTGGCTCTAGTGTGACGCAGCTGGTGCCTCTGCGCTGGTGGGGGTTAAACCCCCCTTTTCATTGAGACAGTGGAGTTTGGCTTCTTCCTCCTGTTCCAAAACGTGGCTGTGGTGTTTCTGGGCCGCTAACGAAGTCCTAGGAGATAGTAGGAGATAGGACGGGGAGAGCCCCGGGGTCACCTTGGCCTGGCCTGCCCGTGCCAGCGTCACCCTCCCCGTTCCTCTGCCAGGCGCGTCACCTCCCTGCGTGCCGTTCTGGCGAGGGCACCGCGCTGGGCTGACCCCTCTGAGTAACTCCTCTTCCTCGCAGGACATCAGCAGCTCCATG